TGCCATTGGCGTATGTTGCCTTACAGTTAGTTTAATATGTTCATTATGCACCCCATACCCATCCTGTGGGCGGTAGTCAAAAGATTACAGAGGCACATAATTGGTCCAGGGACTGGACTCCAACGTTTTGATAGCTGAGCAAGTTACAGAGGTAATGAACTCACAATTTACAAAGGTAATGAACTCACAATTTACAAAGGTAATGAACTCCAGGTAGGTCTAGTCACAATCATGACAAGTTACAAAGGTATTTACAGATTACAGAGGTACGTAATGAGTCCAGGGACTGGGCGCCCAAAGTTTTGATAGCTGAACTAGGTACCTTACATCAGTGTAGTTTGGCAAGTATTGTGCAAATGCTCGCTCTGTTTGTTCCAAGATTATACACATTGTTGTGTAGTGTGTGCTTGTGTGTGTGTATGTATGTATGTACTCACCTATTTGTACTCACCTATTTGTGGTTGCAGGGGTCGAGTCTTAGCTCCTGGCCCCGCCTCTTCACCGGTTGCTACTGGGCCCTCTCTCTCCCCGCTCCATGAGCTTTATCAAACCTCGTCTTAAAACTGTGTATGGTTCCTGCCTCCACTACGTCATTTTCTAGGCTATTCCACTGCCTTACAACTCTATGACTGAAGAAATACTTCCTACTATCTCTCTGACTCATTTGTGTCTTCAACTTCCAATTGTGGCCTCTTGTTTCTGTGTCCCCTCCCTGGAACATCCTGTCCTTGTCCACCTTGTCTATTCCACGCAGTATTTTATATGTCGTTATCATGTCTCCCCTGACCCTCCTGTCCTCCAGTGTCGTCAGGCCGATTTCCCTTAATCTTTCTTCATAGGACATTCCCCTTAGCTCTGGAACTAACCTTGTTGCAAACCTTTGTACTTTCTCTAGTTTCTTGACGTGCTTTATCAAGTGCGGGTTCCAAACAGGTGCTGCATACTCCAGTATGGGCCTTGACTATACACGGTGTACAGTGTCTTGAATGATTCCTTACTAAGGTGTCGGAATGCTGTTCTCAGGTTTGCCAGGCGCCCATATGCTGCAGCAGTTATCTGATTGATGTGTGCTTCAGAGACATGCTCGGTGTTTATACTCACCCCAAGATCTTTCTCCTTGAGTGAGGTTTGCAGTCTTTGGCCACCTAGCCTATACTCTGTCTGTGGTCTTCTGTGCCCTTCCCCTATCTTCATGACTTTGCATTGGCAGGATTAAATTCGAGAAGCCATTTGCTGGACCAGTGTGTCCAGTCTGTCCAGGTCTCTTTGAAGTCCTGCCTGGTCCTCATCAGATTTAATTCTCCTCATTAACTTCACATCATCTGCAAACAGGGACACTTCTGAGTCTAACCCTTCCGTCATGTCGTTCACATATACCAAAAATAGCACTGGTCCTAGGACCGACCCCTGTGGGACCCCGCTCGTCACAGGTGCCCACTGTGATACATCATTACGTACCATGACTCGTTGTTGCCTCCCTGTCAGGTATTCTCTGATCCATTGCAGTGCCCTTCCTGTTATATGCGCCTGATGCTCTAGCTTCTGCACTAATCTCTTGTGAGGAACTGTGTCAAAGGCCTTCTTGCAGTCCAAGAAGATGCAATCAACCCACCCCTCTCTCTCTTGTCTTACTTCTGTTATTTTATCATAAAACTCCAGAAGGTTTGTGACACAGGATTTGCCTTCCGTGAATCCGTGCTGGTTGGCATTTATACTCCTGTTCCGTTCCAGGTGCTCCACCACTCTCCTCCTGATAATCTTCTCCATAATTTTGCATACTATACACGTCAATGACACAGGTCTATAGTTTAGTGCCTCTTTTCTGTCTCCTATTTTGAAAATGGGAACTACATTTGCCGTCTTCCATACCTCAGGTAGTTGCCCAGTTTCCAGGAATGTGTTGAAGATTGTGGTAAGTGGTATGCACAACATATCTGCTCCCTCTCTAAGGACCCATGGAGAGATGTTGTCCGGTCCCATTGCCTTTGAGGTATCGATGTCCCTTAGCAGTTTCTTCACCTCCTCCTCATCTGTATGTATGTCGTCCAACACTTGTTGGTGTATTCCTTGTGTGTGTGTGTGTGTGTGTGTGTTATAGCAAATATCGCGAACAAGCGATACAAGATGCAAAACAACCACAGGGGGTGGGGGGGGTAGAATGATAGCGCTAGGCCTTTCGTGTTGAAACCAACATATCAGGAGCTTGCAGTGTTGCAGAAAAGAGGAGGTCCAAGCAAATACGATCACAGGGAACGCCTTAACTGGAGTGAAGGGAAGAGAGAAGGTAGGCAGGAGACAGGAAGTGCCCCCAGGCATACCAATACCCATAGTCAGAGAAGTTGAATATTATAACACTAGAAAAACAGCAAATTATCTTGGGAGTTTCCACACTTGAGAAAACGGGTCCATTTAAAGGGAGACGTTTAATGGGAGACATCTGTAAGTTATACAAAGTGAGACAGACGCTGGGTATGATATAAAAAAAACTTTACATAACAAATAGATAGATCTGATAATTGTCTTGGGAATTTTTCGCACCTATAGAAAAGGGGTCCATTAAAAGGAACTCATTTAAAGGGGATGAATCTGTAATTTCAATGAAGACGACCATAGTTATTCATCTCACAGGATTCTGAGGCAGCCTCTTTCTTTTTTCTTGCATTTTCTGATGGTTGAACATTGCAAGCTCCTGATGATGTGTTGATTGCAACACGAAAGACCTAGAGCTATCATTCTACTTTCCCCCTGGTTGGACATGCAGCAGGCATGTGTGAGCGTGTTAGGAATAAATGGAGACGAATGGGTTTTGAGACCTGACGAGCTGTTGGAGTGTGAGCAGGGTAATATTTTGTGAAGGGATTCAGTGAAACCGGTTAGCCGGACTTGAGTCCTGGAGGTGGAAAGTACAATGCCTGCACTTTGAAGGAGGGGTTTGGGATATTGGCTGTTTGGAGTGGCATCTAAACTGTCATATCTGGGTACCTCTGCAAAGACAGTGATTATGTGTGAATGATGGTGAAAGTGTTTCTTTTTTGGATCACCCTGCCTCGGTGGGAGACGGTTGACGTGTTGGAAAAAAATGTGTATTTGTATATGTTATATACAAATATATATATATATATATATATATATATATATATATATATATATATATATATATATATATATATATAAACACTGATCTCTGGCTGAAGGAGACTCGAACCTACGAACCTTAGGACAAGGTACGCACTGCGTACCTTGTCCTAAGGTTCGTAGGTTCGAGTCTCCTTCAGCCAGAGATCAGTGTTTGTGTATATTTCGCATGCTCTCGCGAATTCCTTGCATATATATATATATATATATATATATATATATATATATATATATATATATATATATATATATATTATAAAATTAGTTATATATTTATATTGTCTGTAAAGAGCCCCGTATTTCTTTGTGTACTTCACCCACCTCACTAACATGTAATACAGACATTGAACGCGCACACACACACACACACACACACACACACACACACACACACGTATGTGCAGAGGTTCGCAGCAAGAGTAGTCTCTGAGATAAGGGGGTATGAACAATAAGGAAAGACTATCAGTGCTAGATCTAATAATATTAGAGGACACGGAAGGACCACGAGAGATATGATAACGATAGGCTGTTTGAGAGACTGGAACCAGGTACACGGGGGCACACTTGGAAGCTAACATCACAGGTGAATCACCGTGACGTCATGCATTATTTTTTTTAACCTCAGAGTGGTCAAGAATATAGGCAAGATCAGTGCACAGCTTGGAAAACAGTTATGGTAGGGCTCATGAATCAAGGATAAAATAAATCCCGGAACGGCCATTTTTAAAGGCAGGGCCCTGAGCTGAGGCTCCATCTCTGCAACCACAAGTAGGAAAGTACAAATAGGGGAGTACAAGTGAGTATAAATATGTGAGTACACACGTATACACTCGCGACACGAATTCATCTCCATCCACTAGTACTTCCCTCCCCTCTCCTCTGCACGTAATCTAATATTTTAACTAGATATAACCCGACAGATGAGAACCCGCTCCCCCTTCATCCCCCCTTCAGATATTATCAAGTAATTATTAAGGCGGATAAGAAATGTGGGGATGAGAGTGAGAGTGTGGGTGTTGGCGCCTAAGGTAATGATGCCGAGGGCCTGCAGATAAAGACATGTGGTTGTCACCGGATGCTGCAGCTGGCTGGTGTTGCTGGAAGTGCATACTAGGAGTATTATTAATCTTCACTCAGACTTGAGAGGTTCAATGTATGATTAGTATTTACCTTGTATTTTCATAGTTTTGAAAGTACAAACCAAAAAATGCAGCATTTTATTCCCGTTACAGTATGTTGTCAGTGACTTGAGATATTTATTTTATCATTGTGTCGAGATGATTACCTTGACCGCATTCCTTCCCAGAGACCAACTCTACCTATCCTTAGTTCTTTTGACCTCTCTTAATAACTAGTAAATAATGTAAAGGCCTCCCCTTCTTGTAGCCTTTCCAAGGTGTGATTGTCGTTGGTGAAGGGCTCTTGATCTGAGGAAATTGAACCAGTTTCGGGCCTTTTTCCTCGGATCAAACCTGAATAATTACCCCAACCTATGGGCCTGGTCTGGGACTGGGTCGCAGGGACGGTGACCTCCGGAAGCTACTAGAGGTAACCCTATTTCTGACAAAAAAAAAATAACTATTTCTTTATCCTGACTTACAGTGTGTGTCTTTGGACAAATTTTGGATATGGATTTGGAATGGGACTTGTATACCCTGAATTATTTTGATAATGTTTATAACATTGCAGCATATTAGCTGTAAATTAGTAACGATACCTGCAAATTAATAATTTCAGAGTCATCATATGTTCAGAGCTGAGTAAACAAATGATTCCAATGCTATAAAAAACTTATATATCAAAGTAAATGTTAATTTGATCTTTTGTGGCGGTGTGATGTTTAACTTGGACCTGATGTTCCACAGGAGCTGGTTCAGAGCCCACTGTTCATCTGTGAGGACGTTACACAGTTCGACATCGTCAACGGCAAGCTGGGTGAGTACCTGTGTTGCTGGGTGAGTACCTGTGTTGCTGGGGGAGTACCTGTGTTGCTGGGGGAGTACCTGTGTTGCTGGGTGAGTACCTGTGTTGCTGGGTGAGTACCTGTGTTGCTGGGGGAGTACCTGTGTTGCTGGGGGAGTACCTGTGTTGCTGGGGGAGTACCTGTGTTGCTGGGTGAGTACCTGTGTTGCTGGGGGAGTACCTGTGTTGCTGGGTGAGTACCTGTATTCCTTGGCAAGTACCTGTTGTGCTGGAGACATACAGTCTTCCACTTTGTCGTCTCCTGGTGTGTGTGTGGAAAATGTGGTGTGTGTGGGGTGTGTGCGCGGGTAGGGATGTGTGATGTGTATAAAGCGGGGTTTATATATTATATCTATATATAATCTAGCAAGATGACAAGGCTTTCCCAAGTTCCGTATTTACGGAAGAGTTTCAGGTTTGAGTTTGAAGACAAGTTGGTGTAAGAAGACTGATGCACAAGGATCGTATTTTAAGTAAATAAACAGAACCAACCTTTAAACCCTGAGTGAAGACGAGTTAGCTGGATCGCTTATGCACTCAGCTCACACACTGAGGTCCGGGGATCGATCCCCCGGTACAGCTGGAAAGGAAAACATTACGACTTGTTTCCCTAAGACACCTGCTGTCCATGTTCACCCATCAGTATAATGGTATCTGGGTGTTAGTCGGCTAGTGTGGGTTGCATCCTGTGACAAAATTGACCTAATTTGCCCTGAATGCTCTGCATAACAAGGGACTTTCTATATAGTAGTATGTTACTGATGTCAACTATGGTCTGTATACCTTGCACATGTACTTGTAGAAGTAAGATATTATTATTATTATTATTATTATTATTATTATTACTGGATCCACAGGTAGTGTCATCCCATACAGTAACCACTACACCACTCTGTTCAAGCAGGTAGACTAATTACTACGTATCTACTGCTAGATACTGTAAACATAGGAAGCAGGTGTTTAGAGACTTACCTAACTGTCAAGACCAGTCCAGAATTGAACCCGGATATTTTTGTTTGCGAACTGAACGCTCTAGCATTGCCATACTGGTTGTATTATAATCCACCGAATCAGTGCTCCAAGGTCACATGCAAAACTTCCGAAATTTCGGGAGAGAGCGACACACTTTTTTTTTTCATGAGACGGTTGTCGCATAATACTCAGCTGATTCTTCAAGAGATGAGAGAAGCGACCTTCACGCTCTCTCTAGTTTGCAAGATGTTGTCTTACTGTGTATAGCTGTGGTACACACATTCAACCTTGTGAAGAGAGGAAGTGGAGGAAGACTAGTCATGTGGTTTATCATAATTATGCAGCGTGGAGTGAATCACGGTTTACTTTGCACTATTAACCCACACTTTACATTGGAAATTTGGTCCATCTTAGGCTATTATCAAGCTACAACAGAACGAGAAAATGAGAACTTTTTACAGTCAGACCACAGACCAGCAGGCACGGCAGTGTACAGTCAGACCACGGAGCAACAAGCATGGAAGAGTGCAACAGTCAAACCACGGAGCAACAAGCATGGCAGCGTAGTGTCAAAGCGCTGAGCAGGAAGCCCGAGAGAATGTACAGTCTAACCAGGGAGCAGCAGCACGGAAGTTGAAATGTAGCAAAGTCACGTACGGTTTGACACGCTTCGTTGTACGTACCATCAGCATAAGCACGAGCAGCAGCTTTCATGGACTAGCCACGTACAATATAGTTGAAAATAGATAATCTTTCGGGAGTTTGCCGTAAATCATTACTGAAAGGCTGACATTTTGAGGAATTTAGAATGAGCTCAAAAGTATTTATAGAACAAGTGTTTACAGCAGCAGGATAAGTTGTAGGTAATGTTTGTACACTATCACTTTATCCTCTTTATCCTTATTCACCCACCTACATCACCGTACTCTTCAAGGTTCTTCATCTGAGGAACTGGAGTTGATTCACTATTTCCTCTGATCAAACTTGAATTTCCTTTATATCTGGGTATTTAACGTGACTTAATGGTTTATGACGGGATGAATTACGAATATCTGCTGAATGCGACTCATGGAATTTTTTGTAACGTAACAGTAAATTGGTCATGGTAGTAAGAAATTGGTATTGTCCGAGATCTAATGTTTTTATTCAGACCAGACCTACACCAGCACCTCCCTCCCTCTCTCTCTCTCTCTCTCTCTCTCTCTCTCTCTCTCTCTCTCTCTCTCTCTCTCTCTCTCTCTCTCTCTCTCTCTCTCTCTCTCTCTCTCTCTCTCTCTCTCAGATTTACCTTCTCCCCCTTCTCTCATCATTATCATCTGCGTTCTTCCTCTTCCCTTTGATATTTTGCGGAAGAGAAGACGGAATGATGGAAGTGTTCCTGCGGCTGTTGTTACTTCCCTCCCTTCTTTGTTTCCCATCTTCCTTTCCCCTCTCCCTCCATCCCCGTATATTGCATCCTTCCTTTCACCTTCCTCCTCGTCATCTTCCTACTTCCTTCTTCCCTCCCTCCTTCCACCTCCCAGTATGGCATCCTTTCATTCTCTCCCTCGCTTGTTCCTTTCGCCATCTTCCTCCCATCTCCCTATATCTCATTTCTTTCATCATATTTCTCTTGTCCTCCTTTCATCTTCTCCCTCTCTTACTTCTCCTTCCCTCCTCTCATCTTTTCCTTCCTCTCCCTCCACTGCCATTTTAGTGTTCGTAAAGTAAGGCAGAACTAGTGTTTGTGTAGGCTAGCAGAAGGTTGTGTTGTGAATCACAGTGGCCGATGTTCTTAACGGTAGATGAGATCACTCTTCAGCTTCCTGCTGTTCTCTACCATTTCTGACACATGTGACCACTTTCCAAGGTTCTACCCTCACTGCCCAGCCTGAAACTAGACTTCTTTGTTTACCTCCTGATCAAGCAGGATATTGCTGGTAGCGTCCTGCACGTCTCCATAGGCTGGTTGATATAGTACTTGTGAGCTGGTGTTGCCACTACCACCACGTTTCTAATGCAGCTGTTGCCACCAATACCTGCTGCTGTTGCTGCTTCTATTGCTGTTGCTGCCACCTCTTGTTGTTCAATCGTCATTATACTGACCACGTCTTCCCTTACCCTTCTTGTATCTCCTATTTTTCTCTAGCACCCTTCTCTATTTTACCTCGCCTTCCCCTATCCTATTCATCCCCCTGTCTCCCTTCTTATACCCTTACTTTCCTCACCCTCCTTTTCCTTCTCCATACTATTATATTTTCTCTTTCCTTTGATTACTGTCTACCATTTCCATGCACCTGCCTCTCCCAAGACAAAAGTTTCCAACACCACCTTTAACCTTTATACACTGCTCTGTATTATATATCATGTCTGTACGTTCCTCTTGCTTGTCTTGTCTTGCCTCCACCACCAATATTATCCCTATCTTCCCCACATATATGTAACACGAGCACTGTTGCAAGAAAACCTGCAATTTTGTGGTAGATACTGAACCCATAGTGGACCACATGATGATATCCTCATCGCTCTACTGGTCTCCCACCTCAGGCTGACAAACTGCATTATCTTATTTGAAATTCCATTCTTGTGTGGTGGAGTATAATATGGAAATTATAGTGTGTGCGTCAGGCGAACCTTATTTCTTGCTTTAACATTGTAAAATATATGACCAGGGTAAACATAAAGTGGTTTACCTGGAGTTTACCTGGAGAGGGTATCGTGGGTCAACGCCTCCGCGGCCCGGTCTGAAACCAGGCTTCATGGTGGATCAGCAGTAACCAGGCTGTTACTGCTGGCCGCGTGCAAGCTGACGTACGAACCACAGCCCGGTTGGTCAGGTACTGACTTTAGGTGCCTGTCAAGTGCCTTCTTGAAGACAGCCAGGGGTCTATTGGTAATCTCCCTTATGTATGCTGGGAGACAATTGAACAGTCTTGGGCCCCAGACACTTATTGTGTTGTCTCTCATTGTACTCGTGGCACCCCTGCTTTTCATCGGGGGAATGTTGCATCTCCTGCCAAGTCTTTTGCTTTCATATGGAGTGATTTTCGTGTGTAAGTTTGGTACCAATCCCTCCAGGACCTTCCAAGTGTATATTATCATGTATCTCTCTCGCCTGCGTTCGAGGGAATACAGATCAAGGACCTTCAACCGTTCCCAGTAATTTAGGTGCCTTATCGCACTTATGTGTGCCGTGAATGTTCTTTGTACACTCTCCAGGTCTGCAGTATCGCCAGCCTTGAAGGGGGCCGTTAGTGTACTGCAGTATTCCAGCCTAGAGAGCACAAGCGATTTGAAGAGAACCATCATGGGCTTGGCGTCCCTAGTTTTGAAGGTTCTCATTATCCATCCTATCATTTTCCTAGCGGATGAGGTAGATACATTGTTGTGGTCTTCGAAGGCGAGATTCTCTGACATTATCACTCCCAGGTCCTTTACGTTATTTTTCCGCTCTACTGTATGGTTAGAATTTGTGGTATACCCTGACACATTTTTAATTTCTTCAAGTTTTCCATATCTGAGTAGTTGAAATTTCTCCTCGTTGAACTTCATATTGTTTTGAGTGACCCATTCAAAGATTTGGTTGATGTCCGCTTGGTATAATTTTGATATAAAAAGTATAATACAATAGACTGAATTGTTTTTGTGTAACTACTGTATTGTAAAGTCAGTGGATCGATCGACTCCCACCTGTGAGAATTTTTAATATTGTAAGACAAGTGATGAAGGCAGATAGTGATTTGGAATAACATAACCAGGTTGGTAGGCAAAAAAAAAATATTTCAGTGGAGAAAAATGTTAAGTTTGTGAGACAGCGTTAGTAAGGACGTGGACTTAATATAGCATTGAAAGAGTGACAGATGAGAGAGAAAAGTTGGATATAGTAGTGAAGCTGATATTAGCACTGACGTGAGAGTTGCTATTATAGAGCGTGTGTAAAGTGAGGAGGTTTGTATTAGAGGAAAGTGTTGGAGTTTGAGGACATAAGAAAAATGCTATCTTGTGAGGTGTGTGAGGGCGGG